ATATATGAGCTGTTCATTTCTTCATTTTTGAAGTCTGATCTAGGTTCTCCACTTCTCCTTCAATCCGTCTTCATCTCTTTGCCCAAGGTCAAGTATTCAGGTCATCAAGTCTGAATACATGCTTTCCAAGTTCAACCCGTCTTCATCTCTGAGTCAGTGATTCGACGCTCTCCAGGTCCAACTTGCCTGAATTTGTCTGAAATTGTTACTTAAATCCTAAATTGCATGTTTATTCTTTCATTTTTGTGATTGTCTGAAATTGTTACTTGCATATCCTGATTTCGTTTTTGTTACTTAAATCCTGAGTTGCCTTTTACAGAGTCCCTACTTCCATTTTTGTGGTTGATTATTTTTATCTAGTGATTTTAATTTCTGTTTGTTTGAACTTAAAGTTTTGATTTAAGATCATGGATGCTAGTAGCCTTGAAAATAATGACACTCCTACACCAACTCCTATACTTGTGTCAAATACCCCCTTCACTCACAATGTTAATGCTACTGGAGGAACTGGTATTGGTAGTTCATCAAAGAAACAATCAACAGTTGGCTTTACTCATGGGAAGATTGATCCTGCTTAGGAACATGTAGCCTTAAGAAAAGAAGGGGATATAGCTGTTTATATATGCTTGCATTGTTCAAGTGAATATAGAAGGGGTGGCATAAATAGATTGAAGCAGCATCTAGCTAGGGTAAGTGGTCAAGTTGTTTCTTGTAAAAAAGTTCCTCATGATGCACGCCATCAAATGATCTAGTCTTTAAGGGAGGTTTCAAAAAAAAGAAAGCTAGATGATATTGAGGAAAATTATGGTGATATTGATGACTTACAAGAAGTAGTTGATGCTGGTTCAAATCCTCCTTCGAATACAGCTCCTCTACTCAAGATAAAAGGAAGGCTTCTACAAGTGGTGCAAAGAGACAAGCTTCAGGTGTAGCTGGCAATTACTTTGCCCCAAGAACAACTCCTGGTGCACAACCAGGTATTAAAAGTGTTTTGTCCACTAAAGAAGCACAACATAAAGAAAAGATTTCTATTTTTGAGTGGTTTGTTATCAATTGCATTCCTTTCAATATATTGAATTGTCCATTCTTTCAAAAAGCTATAAATGCAATTGCTGCTATAGGACCTGGATTCAAAGGCCTTACTGCTTATGATATGAGAGTGAATTTGTTAGGGAATTTGAAACAAGAATGTCATTTAATTGTTGATGCTCATCGACGCAGATGGGAAAGTAATGGTTGCACATTAATGGCTGATGGTTAGACTGATGTTAGGCAGCGTATATTGATAAACTTTTTAGTTCATTCTATGAAAGGTATAGTGTTTGTAAAGTCTATTGATGCTTCAGAGCTAGTCAAAGATGCTATGATATTATTTCAGTTGTTTAGTGAAGTGATAGAGTAGATTGGCCCTAAAAATATTGTTCATGTGGTGATTGATAATGCAGCCAACTATGTAGCATGTGGTCGACTGATTCATGAGAAATATAGGCATATTTATTGGTCACTGTGTGCTGCACATTGCTTGAATCTCATCTTGAAGGATATTGTAAGTTTGCCTCATGTGTCAGACCTTGCATTCAAGGCATCAAAGATTACCATTTTTGTGTATAATCATATTGTCTTTTTGTCATGGCTTAGAAAAAGACAAGGTTGGAGGGAGATTATGCGTCCAGGAGCAACTATATTTGCTACCACCTTTATTACTTTACAAAGCATCCATAAGCACAAGAATGACTTGCAAGATTTGGTGATTGATAGACATTTTGTTGATCACAAGTTGTCAAAGACAGTAGCAAGACAGAATTTTGCTAACATTTTCTTGGACAATAGATTTTAGAATGAGTGTTATGACATTGTGGCGCTTGTTGGTCCCCTCATTCGATTGCTAAGAATTGTTGATGCAGATGAAAAGCTTTCTCTTAGCTATGTCTATGAAGGCATGATAAGGGCAAAACATGGAATCAAGAGTTTCTGTAACAACAATCCTCATAAATATAAGCCTTACATAGACATTCTTAAAGCTTGATGGGATAAGCACTTGAAGACTAGTCTTCATGCAACAACATATTTTTTGAATCCGGCATTCATATATGACCCTTCTTTTCATCTCAAAAGAAAGCTCACAGATGCTGTACTTGATTTGCTTGGGGTGTATGGCTCTGATGATTATGTCCAGTTGTGGGAGCAATTGAGTTTGTACAAAAATCGTGATGGTTCTTTTGCTCGAGATCACTTGGGTCTAGCAGCAAAAAAATTATCACCTTGTAAGTTGTATACTTTTATTACTTTTAATTATTAATTATAATTTGAAATGATAAGTAAAAAAGCTACATTTTTATTGCAGATGAATGGTGGTCATTTGTTGGAGGTGATGCTCCACAATTGCAACAAGTTGCAATCCGTGTGCTTAGCCAAACTTCATCATCTTCAGGATGTGAGCGTAATTGGAGCTTGTTCGAACGTTTTCACACAAAAGAAGAAATAGATTAGACCATCAATGCTTAAATGATCTAGTTTTCACTAATTACAACTTGCGGTTGCAGCATAGGTAGTTATCTAAATGATCTAGTTTTAATTTATGTTTAGTTGAAAATTAAATAATACCTAACTTCTTCCTTGTTTACTTAATAGGTCACAGTTGAAGAAGAAAAATTATGATCCTATTGATTATGTATCTATTGATAGACTTAACTTTTGGATAGCTGAAGAAGAACCTGCTCCCGAGTTTAATGAAGCAAATTGTGATGCTCTGCTGCGTGGAGATAATCCACAACCTGTTACTGCTATTAGGGATGATGAAGGTTATTTGATATGTTATTATCCTATAATTATTTTTGAGAGAAATGATAGTTAAGAACTTAAGATTGATTTCTCTTATTTATAATAGGTGATGAACATATGAATGCTACATCTTCTCCACCTTTGTTTGATGATGTTGGATTTGGAGCTCAATCTACATCTGTTGAATTTGGAGCTCAATCTACACCTGTTGGAGCTAGAGGTAAATCTACACCTACTGGAGTTGGAGTTCAATCTACTCCTGAAGTTGCTATCTCAGATTTTCTTCCAGCTACAGTTGCTAATGACTTAGCAACTAAAGAATTTGACTTGAATGAGTTTTATGGTGATGACTGATTTTCTTGGTTTGATGGGTTTTACTTAGGACTTGGGAAGAATGTAATAATTATGGATTAGACTTTTGTACAAGGATGTTGGATGATTTTTCCTTTGATGTTAGATTGTTATATTTATGAATTTGGCTATTATATTGTGGATTAAACTTATATGCAAGGATGTTGTATGATTTTTCCTTTGATATTGGATTGTTATATTATAGATTTGGCTATTAGATTATGAATTTGATATTAATATTTGTGATCTTTTAAGTTTAAATGATGTTTTTATGCTTATATAGGTATTTAATTAATAAATTTTAAATGTATATTATTCAAAATACATTAATTTATTATTGATTGATTCAACTACGGTTCGATCCCGGTCCAACCATTGAATCGTGAACCACTATCTTGACCAGTTCAATGATCGGTCCGATTTTTAAAATCTTGATCAAGACTTGAACTCAAGATTAAAAAAAAAAAAATCAACCTCCTTACTCCTTATCAGTTGGTCCAGACACTTGATAGTATATATTTCTCAATTCTCAATTTTTCAATAAAGTGATTTGCATTCATCCAACAAAAAAAAGTCATAAAGATTTATTTGTTCACACCTTCGCACATGATCGGCATGTATATGACAATCATAAAATGCCAAGCTACCTGTTGATTGTTTCCAAGGGCATATTATAATCTAAGTTAATCATGCTCTCGAGTCTCAGTTTTTTTTTTTTTTAAAAAAACTTTTAAGTGCCTGGTGGAACTGGCTCTCTCCCCTCATATAGCCGTACACAGTTTTTGTTTTAATGATATTTTCCTTTTCCTTAAAAAAAAAAGATCAAGGTTTTTATTTTTATTTTTAAACTATACATGAAAGGTCATAAATACTCATAAATTTAATTATGGATTAACTTTATTCTTCAACTTTAAAGATTTTCTTCATTATCATGCTACCATTTTCTCACCGTTAGTTGATCGTTAGAGGATCTCACATTATATTTTTTAAATTTTTTATTATAAAATATTTAAGTTGAAGGGGAAAAATAATTTTTAACTTGATAAAAATATTAAAAAACAGTGAAACCTATTAATGACTAATGAACATTAAGTATTTTTAACGTCAGGGTGATGACAGAAAATTCTTCATAATTAAAAAATAGAATTAATTTATAATTAAATTTAAGAACATTTGTAATCTCTTGTGTAAAGTTTAAGATGAGAATGACACTTAGATTTTTTAAAAAATATCAAGTTTTGTTTTGTTTTTATTAAAAAAAAATGCCAACTTACCATGCCCCAGGCCACTCATGTGAAGCCATTTTCACGGAATTCACCCATAAATTTTGCAATCACGTGGGCAGGGAGTGGGGTAATTCAATGTCACTTCGCGGAAGGCTCCTCCTGCTCCGCGTTTAAATGTACTCCCTCTGGTTTATAGTAATATATGGCATTTTTTATATGTGATTGTTAGTCTAAAATGGAGAATATTTTATAGCTTTAAAAATATAATTTTATTTTTTATTCCTATGTTGATTAATGTGTTTAAGTAATTAATATTATGCATGGAAAATTGTGAACATTAGTTTTAGATAAAGGCAAAGGCGAAACTGGAAAAATAATTTTTTAAAAATATATTCGGTGGGCCAGACTGGAAACTTTAAAAACAGATTTATACTTCAACCCAAAAAAAATTAAATTTCTTTAGCATTTAGAGTATTGATTTTCTAAAATAAAATGTAAACTATGAACCATATTTAATACGAAATATGTTGGGTAATTTAACAACCGCGTCGTTGGAGAATCTATACCGAATATGCCATTTTCTTGCTTCTATATAAGCAGCACTAGTTCGCTCTATCATCTTGCACATCATCACCAGAAAACCCAAAAATGGCTCCGACATTCTCTTCCCTCGCTTCGTCTTTTCAATCTCAAAAGAAACATGATGTTTTCATAAGCTTTCGAGGTGGGGACACCCGCTTCACTTTCACGAGCCATCTTCATAATGCTCTCTGCAGAAGCAAGGTAGAAACATTCATTGATGATAGGCTTGAGAAAGGAGGCGAGTTGTGGCCAAAGCTTGAGGAAGCCATTGAGGGCTCAACCCTATTCCTCGTGATACTGTCTGAAGACTACGCGTCTTCCACGTGGTGCTTGAAGGAGCTCACCAAAATACTACAGAGCACCTGCAGAGATCAGGGAAAGGGACAGCGTGTGATGCCAGTGTTCTATAAGATAGAACCTTCACATGTGAGGAAGCAGTTGGGGAAGTACGAGGAAGCATTTGCAAAATATGATCACATGTACAGCGGCAAGAAGCAACCTGCTGTAAACAAGTGGAGGGAGTCTCTCACTCAAGTTGCCAATTTTGCTGGCTGGCAATGTACCTCCAATAGGTAAATTCCCCACCCTTCTTCTTTTTTTTTCACCCTATATATTGCAGCAATATAACGCAGCATACTCCTGTTAACCCAGCCCCGCCCGGCGCCCGGTCCAACCCGATGATAAGAAGACTGGACTAATGAGGCCGGATTGACTAGCCGGTCAAACCAGGCTTATGACTAAGATTAAGCCTCTTGACTATTTAGTCCAACTCGGGCTGCTGTTTTTTTTAATATAATCAAGTTCATTTCCTTTGTCCTTTTGCCAGATCAGCAGCCATCGCCATGATCCTCTCCAATATAATCTCCCTAGTTGTTCTGTTCCTACTCCTACTCCGTTGGCCGTTGCTCCCATTATTGCTTCATCAATGTTCGGCTTCACCGCCATTCTCACTTCTCCATTTGCGACTTCTTCTCTTCTTTTTTTCGTCTTTGTTCTTTTTTTTCTTCTTTGATTCTCTCTCATGGCTTGTTAGTTCTGGGACACGGTTACTTGGCCTTTATGATGCTGTTTTTTTTTTTTTTTCTAGGGGACCTGATACCTTTTATGATGCTTGAATCTTGATGGATTGTTATCTGTGTCTTTTGCTTTCTGAATCTTTTTGTATCATTTTGCAGTAGGCATTATAGATTTCTCATCTTTCTGTATGCTTTCTTTGATTTTTCCATAGGTTATTTTTTTTCTCTGTTTCTTTTTTCACCAGCTAATTAATTATTTTTTCTTTGGCTAGAAGGGGGGAAAAAGAAATCAGTGTGGTTCTCTCTTTTTCTTTACCTCCTTTTCTCTCCATCTTGTCAATATTAATCATTCATTAATTCTATAATTTTAAAAAAATTATTTAATTAAATAATATGAATAGTCAAGATAGAAGCGGATGGAAAAGGAAAGGAACAGTGGGGAGACGCGTTGCGTTATTATATTACATTATTATAGTATACATTGCTCCTCCCCTTCATTCTATAAAATATTTTTGAAAATAATTTAATGTTCTAAAATATAAATATAAAATACTTTTTGAAAAAAATAACATTTTATTAACTATCATTGTTTTAACATTATCCCTTATTATTTTATTTTTTAAAAATATTTTCTTTAAACCATAATAGAAAGTTTTGGTGGCCATTTCACAATTTTTTAAAAAAAGTTAGATGAAATATTAATTTCTGTAAAAAAAAAATTTTTATTTCTTTACAATTATACCTTTACTAAATATCTTATATAAGTTTCTAATAATAATAATTAAAATTTTGATGTATCATTTAAGAAAATAAAATAGATGTATAATTAAAAAATAATTATAAAAATTATCTAATACCTAGTATTTTGAAAAAGCTTGTAAGAGCCTATACCATGATATGAAAGCAGTATACTCCTTTCATTCAAAAATATAAGACATTTTTTGAGGTGTTGAATGTTAAAAAATATAAGACATTTTTAGTCTTTTAAGGTGTAATCATTATTTTTTTAAAAGTGCCCCCAATGATAATAACTTTATATTCATTGTAGGATATTTAATAGGAGTAAATATGAAAAGATAGGGTTAGTTGAAAAGTAAGTAACTACTTTATTGGGGGTGAGATTCGATTAAAAATGCCTTATATTTTTGAACGGAGGGAGTATTTCTTTTTATCTCCCTTATTAAATGCATGTATTTTTTAAAATTTATAAAAAAAATAAAATTTATATTTAATTTTTTGGCCAACAGAATTATATTTAATTGATTTTATTATTATTTATAATTTTATAAAAATATTTTCTAAAATGAGGTGAAAAGGAGGTGCAGGAAGTGTTTGGAATGGGAGGGCGGTAAAAAAAATTATTTATTTTTTAAGAAACTACAGAACTTTTTTATAAAATAGATTCACATTAATACGATTAAATTTTATTAATAATAACAAATTCTTATGAAATGCTATTTATTCTATAGAAAATGAAGTGGATGAAATAAAATATATTAAAATATTATGCTTATAAAAAAATTAAATAAATATTTATAAATAATTTATAAATTTTCTTTGCTTTTAGATAATATTTTTATTTAAATATTAGTTTTACGATTTTGGATGAATTATTAAAATGATAGGAGGAAATGTTTTATTTAAAAATTTTTATGTAAGTCAACGTTTTAAACTTTGACTTTATGTAAGTTGTTATAGTTTTAATCCTTTAAAATATTAGTTTTTACATTTTAGATAAAAAGATTATAAAATTAAATAAAGTTTTTTCTTGAAACTTAGAAATTAATTTTTATATGGATATAAGAGCATATATGAAAACTGAGATACATTGAATCAAAATTTAGGATATAAGTTTTAATTGAGTTAAAATTATATAGATTGAGTTGTACTGAGTCAAAGTTTAAAAAATAAATTGCAACGGAGTCAATATTAAAGGAATCAAATTATGATTAATTTTGTCTAATTTTTTACATTTTTAAATGTAATTTTTAATAAATGTTTTTGTGTTGTAGTGGAGAAAACGGAAGGAATACAATTGAATATGATTTGGTTTGTTGGTTAGAAGGTCAACTTTTTTTTTAAGTTGATGTTTGCTTTTTCTTGCGTCATTATTGTTTATAAGTTCATCCACGTTTGTGCCTTGAAGTGCCCTTGAACTTGAATTATACAAGTCAGTGTGAAGCTTGTATTTTATTTTCTCCAATTCTATATAAAAATTAAACTTGGAAGCAGTGTTTTGAAATCCGGATTGGACATTAAATTGGAAAGAGCAACGGGTCGCAGTTTTCATGGTGTAACCGGTTAGACCGACGGTCGAACCGATAACATAAAAATTAAATAAAAAATAATATTTATATGCGCAACTATATAAATAAAACATTAATTTGTCAATGGTGCGTGGGATCTCGACTCCAAAAGCTAGATGCTTGGACTGTTAGAGTTAAAGGTAGAAGCATGTCAGTACAAACTTGTGATCTTGAAGGAAAATGCTGGAGCTGGAGGCACGCCGTCATGTCATAACTCACAAGCTTCCGGTCTCGATATCAAAGATTGGATCTCTAAAACTGAAGGCAGAGGTTGGAGGAGAAGCTAGAGATTGAGCTTGGGCCATGAAGGAGAGATTAAAGATTAGAGAAAAGAAGAAAATAGAGAATTAGTGATTAGAGAAGAGAAATTGTGAATCTAAACAACTTAGCCTAAATTTCTTTTTTTAAAAAAAAAATTTGGCTTTGAACCGGGTTGACCCGGGTCCAATTTCTGGGTCAAAGCCGGTTCTCTCAAATTGGCCGGTTCAATTCGGGTCAATTATCAAATTGGCTTAACTGGTTGAACCAAACCATTTTATTCAGCGGGTGGTAGTCGGACCGGTCGAACTGTTCGGTCTGATCCGGTTTCAACAACATTGCTTGGAAGTTACTCTAGATCCTAAAGCATTTCGATGTAAAAAGATAAATTAAATTTGAAGTTAGGGCTTTAAATCCGTTAAAGTTAAACTTAAGATTTTAACTATGACTTTTTCCTAGCTGCAATTAGTTTAAAAAAATTTCAAAGTTGTCTTAGTGACTGAATCCTGTGTGATTTAATTAACATTAAGTCTTGTGAAAGTTGTTTTTATAATTAATATTAGTTTGAATGCAATAGCGAATTTGGTGCATCTTTCTTTTTCCAATGAGCAGGAATGAAGCTGAATTAGTTGACGAGATAGTCAGAGCTGTGATACAAAGGTTGGATTGTATGCATCAAGGTGAAGGTGATTCGAAAAACTTGGTTGGAATTCATAGGAAAATTGCAGATGTGGAATCATTGTTACACAATGGATCATCCAAAGATGTTCGCTTTGTCGGAATTCAAGGTAGGAGAGGTATTGGCAAAACAGCTCTTGCAAAAGAAGTATTTAACAAGTTGTATGTTTCATATGAAGGGTTTTGTTTCCTGGCCAACATTAAGGAAGAGTCCAAGAAACATGGAATAGCTGCTCTGAGGAAGAAACTTATGTTGACATTACTGGGGGACAAAGACTCTCACGTTGGCATGCCTGATGGAATAACTCCTTTTGCCATGAAAAGGTTGGGTCGGAAAAAAAGCCTTGTTGTTCTTGATGATATTGATGATCAAGAACAATTAGAGAATTTAGCTGGAAGGCATGATTGGTTTGGATCAGGCAGTAAAATTCTGATAACAGCAAGAAATAAACAAGTTCTTGGGAAGGAAGTAGATGATATATACGTGCTTGAAGGTTTGAATTCTGGTGAAGCTTTGTGCCTTTTCTCGCTGCATGCCTTCAAAAATGATTTTGCTGACATGGAGTTGAAAGAATTGGCAAAGAATGTGGTCTGTCACGCAAAAGGCATTCCACGAGTCCTGAAAGCTTTGGGCTGTTTTTTGTATGGAAAAAGTAAAAAAGAGTGGAAAAGGTTATTGGCTAAGCTTAAGAAAATGCTTTGCACAAAACTTTATGACGTGCTGAAGTTTAGCTCCCAAGGCCTAGATCATGAAGAGAAAAATATCTTTCTGGATATTGCACCTTTCTTCAAAGGTAGAGGTATGAAAAATAAAAAAATAAGAGTTAACAAAGCAAGAGCAATCATGCAAAATTTGATACAAGAAATTGTTGGTGAAGAAACATGGAAAGATTCTATAAAGAAAGGTGATTTATGGACTCCTCGTGAAGTTTCTCAAATATTGATGGAGGACATGGTAAGAGTTAATTTTGGTTTGAATTCTGCGTTAGTTAATAATTAGACGATATTCTGATTAATGTTATTGTTTTTTTCTTTTGTTAGGGGCCTGAAGCCATTGAATGCCTGGCATTAAATGTTCCAAAAGTCGAAGAGACGCACTTGGGTCATCAAGCATTTGGGCCAATAATGCCCAAAGTAGAATTTCTTGATTTTTCTAGCCAAACAAATCTGATTGAGCAGGTGAACAAGTTTCATTTAACCTGTGGTCTTGGTCAATTGCTGCCACACAAAGTCGTCCTTTTGCCTTGGGATGGGTATCCTTTGAAGTCATTGCGAGGAACATTCTCAGTTGAAGTTCTTGTTACAATTGAAATGTCAAATAGCAATTTGATAAAATTTGATACAAGAAATTTGTGGACTCCTCGTGAAGTTTCTCAAATATTGATGGAGGACATGGTAAGAGTTAATTTTGGTTTGAATTCTGCGTTAGTTAATAATTAGACGATATTCTGATTAATGTTATTGTTTTTTCCTTTTGTTAGGGGCCTGAAGCCATTGAATGCCTGGCATTAAATGTTCCAAAAGTTGAAGAGATGCACTTGAGCCATCAAGCATTTGGGCCAATAATGCCCAAAGTAGAATATCTTGATTTTTCTGGCCAAACAAATCTGATTGAACAGGTGAGCATGTTTCATTTAACCTGGGGTCATGATCAATTGCTGCCACACAAAGTCGTCCGTTTGCCTTGGGATGGGTATCCTTTGAAGTCATTGCGAGGAACATTCTCAGTTGAAGGTCTTGTTACAATTAAAATGTCAAATAGCAATTTGATAAAATTTGTGAAGATGAATACCAGGTAAGTTTATCTTTTAATTATTCACAAAAAAAGAGAGGAAAACTTAGCTTGTTGAGAATTCTTAATTATTTGTAATTTCCCTCTCTTTTCTTGTTGCAGAGTCTTGTTAATTTATGCAAGATTGACTTCTACGACTTGAGAGATTTGATTGAGCTCCCAAATTGTTCAAATCTTAAAGAAATAGATTTCTGCATTGGTTCAGAGTTGTGCAGTGTTCGTCCATCCTGTTTATCTCTCCACAACCTTGATGTTTTATCGCCACCAGGTTGCAAAGCCCTCACCGGCCTTACAGGCCATACCCACCTGAGACCACTTGTTAGCGACCTCGAACTTGAGAGATGCTCAAGTCTGAGAAAACTTTCAGTGACCTTGGAAGATGTTGAGATAATGTTGCCTCTTTCAGGATCAACCATCAGTGATCATGAATTGCCCTCATCAAATGAGCGTCACACTGAAACTGATACATGGAGATCTAGTCTGACCAGCCTTTGTACCAAAAATTTACCATTGGTAGCAAGTTTCCCATTTTCTGGGTTACATTGTTTGAGGAATCTGTATCTGCATGATTTCTGTGGCTCGTTTGAACTGCCTGACTATATCAGCTCGTGGTCCTCGTTACCAAATTTATCACTCCCATGGGGCGCTGACGAAGAGAGCTTGCCTGTAAGAATCCAGCGTCTTCCAAGCTTGCATTCTCTTGGATTGATTGACTTGACAAGGATTGGGTCATTTCCAGAATCCCCATCGACGATGGCTGCCCAGGACTGCGCATACCTCGAGACACTACAGTTAAATTCAACAACTGGGTCATTTCAAGTTCCACGCTTTGTCTTCAGCAATTTCTCGGACTTGGATCAACTATCAACCGAGTTCAATTCACCAACCGGGTCACTTAAATCTCTACGTTTAGTCTCCGGCACGTTCTTGGACTCGGATCAACCATCAACCGTTGATTCGATACCATGGCCGGGATTCATTTTCCGCGCCATTGTTTTTGAATTATTACAGTTTTTTGTTTCGCATCACTTATGGCAGAGGATCCATTTACAGGAGCAATGTTTACGGCAGTTCAGGGGACTGGTTTTACCGTCGTCGTCGTCGTCAACAAGATCATTAGTCTAGAATTTTTTTCCCCTTCCATTCCTTTTCTTATTTATTTATTTATTTTTGTACAAACACTATTTACTGTAGCTTGTATATTGTATGATTGTAATGAAATAAGGTGTGTATATAATTTTCCAAAAGATGGAGCTCACCACCCTCCTATCTCTCCAGAGAAAATTATAACAACATCAATAATAATTATAAATATTAAATTATTAAAATTTCAATGACAAACTATAGTATTTATTTATAATGAATTGTCTTTTATATATTACCTTAAAATTCATAATAGATTTTAGTAAATTAATTACTAACTAATGTTATAAAGAATTTCAATTATCTTTTATTGATTTCTTAAATGATAGTAAAAATTATAAGTAATTGATTTATGATTCACAATTAACTTTCGTAAATTTCTAACTAACGTTATAAATAATCTCAAGTGTATTTAATAAATTTTTTATGTAATTTATCTAGATATTGAAGCTTGTATTTTATTTTCTTCAACTATATGTAAAAATTAAACTTGAAGTTACTCTAATTTTTAAAGCATTTCGATTGTCTTATGTAAAAAGATAAATTAAACTTGAAGTTAGGGCTTTAAATCAGTTAAAATTAAACTTAAGATTTTAACTGACTTTTTCCTATGCAATTAGTTAGGAGTCGTGGGTTTTAGGTTTTACAATCACAATTAATTAGACATCAATTATTCATGTTTTGGTCCAAATCATGCACTTATTTTTTTTCCCCCGTAATGATTCTTTAACAGAAGTTACAATGTTGTTCCTTCCGAAAAAGTTTCAAAAATTTTCAAAACTGTCTTTTTTACTGAATCATGTGTGATTTCATTAATATTTAGTCTTGTGAAAGTTGTTTTCACTACTATAAAATAGTGAATATATATATCACGTTTTATAAAATGATTATATTTAAAATTCTTCAATAAAAGAAGGTGGGAATTGAAAATTTAAATATTAAACAGTTTTAAAAATAACTCTTACATAAATAATTGATAAACTCAACGGTTAACCGTTGCGCATATACGTCCGCATAATATTAAACGGTTCTCTAAAGGGAACCATTTAATATTATTTTAATATATTAAATGGTTGTCATCAGATCTATTTTATATACTGTATGACAACCATTTCATATATATTCTTTTAAAACTCTGCCCCTCCCCCGAAACCCTCTATCTAAAAAACTGAACGTTACACCCAATTTATCGTCTTCATCCTCCTCGCACCCTTCACCTCCATCAAAGCTCCAAATTTAATCATTTTTTGCCACCCCTTGTCTTCCTCCGCCACAAAAATGCCATGGGTTTGTCTCCCTTCTCGCTCGTGGCTCGCCGCCGGTCATGGGTGCTTGCCATCATCTCTTCGATCATCATCTTCTCGTGAGTCCTCCATTCGTCTCCGTTCAACCTCCATTGCTCCGTGGGTCTCTCAGCCACCATTTGATTTTGTCTTTGCAAAGGCAAATTTTTTTTTGTAAAAAATTTGCTATTGAGATTGGAATGGACTTTTTTCACCCCCATAGATTTTGGCCATTTATGCTTGCTTATTGTTTTAATTAGTTAGCAATTGCTCTGAAACTCCCTGAAATTGCTCTGAGATTTATCTGAAGTTGATCTGAAATTGTTATTTAGAGTTTTCTTTTTGTACTAGTTAGCATTTTGTTCTAAAATTGGTGTATAAAATTGCTCTATATGAATGTTGGTTTGAAATTGTTGTTAATTTAATATTGAATTTGTGAGAAGATGGCATTAAGCTTGTGAAATTCTCAATTTTATGTTGTTATGTTACCAATTTTTTTCTTTTAAATTTTGGTTTTAGCCTTATGTAGAACAACTTTGAGCTTTGTTAAAGTTCCTTGAAATTGTTTAAAATTTTATTTGGTTAAATTAGTATAAACTAAGGGCATAAGATTCGAGGAACACTAATTTTAAATTGTTATGTTGTTAAAATTGTTTAAATATTTTAAATAATTTACAATGCTAATGATGCTAAGCCAATTGCTAAGCTTGAAAAAAGCATATAGTAGAGGTATTATTCCTTTATTTCAAATGCAAACCTTTGCGGCAAAAAAAAAAGTAATCAACCTAATTAATAATACTAATAAATATCTAAATATAAACAAAATAACTGGTACCAAATTAATCTCCCCCCATAACTAAAACTTAAATAGAATGTGAAGATAGTGGGATTTGAAAGAAAAAAATTGGTAACATAACAACATAAAATTGAGAATTTCACAAGCTTAATGCCCTCTTTTCACAAATTCAATATTAAATTAACAACAATTTGCTTGCTTATTTAGATGCAAGTGCATATTATAAGCTCCAAGTAAGACCAGTAAGATTACTCTTACTAAAACCCTAATCTCAAAACATCAAGGTGATTACCCAATTTTCAAAATTTCAAATAGGGATCCCAAGGTTTCATAATGTAAAATACTCCCATAAACTTTTAAACATTCACAAATCATTTGCATATATACTCCAAACAATGAATTGTGCAAAAAGCAGCACATATGTTGATATATTGCGGCAGAGGCACCACACGTCATAGCTCATTGCATGAATTTGATAGAAATTTTGCTGTCAAATGACAACACTCAAGATGAATTTTTAGTGCATCCTATTTCTCCATCCGACATCCAATTAAGGTGACTTAGGTATTTTTAGAGAGCTTTCTCTTAGTTCTACCTAATAGTACAAGTTTCATAATCAAATTATTTTCTATCAAAAGTTGAACATCCTTGACAAGATTCACTCATTTTCCATAAGAACTCACAACTAGGATGCCCAAATCACAACACAAGTGCCAAAGCCTACAATAACCTTTAGACCACACTTAATAGACATTCAGGATTCGGGCAACACACCACATCCATTCTAATACACATATATAATAAATTCACCAGTCAATCCCTTAATTCACAAAAACATAAGGGGGAGATAACTTTACTTAGAAACTCAAATATTCATCTTATGACAACCAAATACACCATATCCTATTTTTATTAGTATTTCAACCCTAATTAAGCTTTCCAATCACAAATCAAGAGCTCAAGGTATAAAATACACTAACCATTTTCTCAATCTTAATGCAAGTAGTCAAAATAATATAATGAAATCCTAATTAACAAATTAACCATCAAATTACACATAGATGTAAATTTAGAGGTTTAAAAATATAATTTACACTTGATTCTAGGCCTCTGGTCGATTTTTTCAATCCTGATGAATTTCAATTTTGACTTAAAAAGTTACGCACGTCCATTCACTATACATCATCATTTCCAACAATAATTTTCATGACTTTCTGCCACTCTTGCGTGCCTTTTTCATCAACCAAAAAAGCCACCCCGGTCCCCACTCTTCTTTGAATCTAAAATTTGTAAAAAAAAAAAAATCCTCTAAAGACCATTGAAAAAAATTAATATCAATTAAAAATTAATTAATTTTAAAATTATCTTGCAGTACTTTGATTCTTGATTAATATTAATTTTTAAAATTAAAAGTCTAAACTATCCCTCTAATTAAAAATAAAAAAAGAAAAAAGAAACCCCTACCATTGCTGGAGCCCTATTGCCGACAGGGTCGCCAACAGCCGATCACCAGAGCTCCGATGTCGGTGATATTTTATTTGAGAAATAATTAGTTTAGATGGTCAAGGGAGGATTTGATCCCATAATTTTTGACTACTTAAAAAGCTTGGTGACCTAACCAAACCATGTAATTATATATAATATATATATATATATATATATATATAAATAGTAAACTAAGTTTTTAACCACTTTTATGTTATAACATAACGGTGTATTGTTAATTTTTAAACGAAACTTGTTATTTTACAAATGTTACTTGTTAGTTATAAATTGAGAGCTTTAAAACTTTACACATTTTACTTATTAAAATTCAAATATATTGTTATTAATTACAAATAGATTGTTATCAAAACTAAATGAATACTTATTATAACTTATTTATTCTTCATTTTTTTTGATAAATTATTCATTATTCTTCTTGTTACCTCGCTTCCTGGAGTTTCGTAAGCATGCCTTAATTTCAGTCACAATCTGTTCTCTTTTATGTATCTCCCCCGTCGGCTTTTTTTAATTCTTTCCATGCACAAATACTTAGATCCCATTTGAAGGAGTCCCAATTCTCTTTTACATATCAAAGCAAGCTAAGCAATCTGATATGGAGTCGTCTTCTTCCTCCACTCCATCATCTCGACCTCCAAAGAAAGATGATGTTTTTATTAGCTTCAGAGGTGAGGAGACAAGCCATCTTCAAGATGCTCTTCGCAGAGACCAAATTGAAACATATATCGACTGCAGACTCGAGAAAGGAGATAAGGTATGGCCCTCTCTTGAGAAAGTTATTGATCAGATTCGACTCTATTCCTTGTCATCTTCTCTGAAAACTATGCATCTTCCACGTGGTGCTTGAAGGAGCTTACCAAAATATTAGAGTGCTCCAAAAATCAAGGTCATTTGGTTATGCCAGTGTTCTATAGAGTAGATCCTTCAGATGTGAGGAAGCTGTTTGGGAGTTACCAGAAAGCATTTGATGAACATGACCACAAAAGCATCAGCAAGCAGCAATTGCAAAAGTGGAGGAAGGCTCTCACTTATGCTTCCAATTTAGCTGGATGGCATTGCAGCTTTGATAGGTATGTTTTATGCTTACGATCTTTCTCTTATCCTGAGCCGTGCGGCTAACTCGATGAGTCTTTTGTACATTACTGTTCTAACTTCTGATATTTTGAATATTCTATTATTTTCGCCTTAACCCTCATCCCAATAGCTAGTTGTTAGATTTCATTTGTTTATAATGATGTCTGTTCTAACTCTGTACTCGTTACCTTTCTTAATTTTACACGTGTGATATAATTTTGAATAATTTTTGCTTTTTATCAACCTTCTTCCTCATCCTGTTCACTGGCTTTGACAGAATTCAGGGAGATCTAATAAGTCATTGTTCACTATCATCTTCCTTAACTTCTATGTCATCTTCGTTTGATTTTTCTTCTTCCTCCTCTTCTAGGACAGATACATGAATTGGTGGAGATGATAAATTATCAATTTATTTTTCAAACTCAGAATCTGTCTTGTCTTCCATTTCATGTCCTTTTTGGTCATGTTCTTCCTCAAGTTCAGCATTTGACTTCCCTTCCCTTTTTAATTTTCGTGATGCTTTTTTTTTTTTTTTACTCCTTTTTGAATGCAAATTCAATAAAGGCAACCACTCTTCGATGGTTATCTTCAAAAACCTCATCATTATTGGCAATGACTCCTTCAATTTTTGCAAATTTAGAAAGTGTTAATAGATAACAAAACTTGTTTTCAATTATATTCTATCCAAAACCATAGTAATAATTACCAGGTTAAAATATGATGTCATGGGTCTCTTATTGATCGTGGTGGAAGTGGCCTCTTCAATAGAAGCATCATATAGAATCTCAATATTGCTTTCTCTCTCTTTTCGCAATCTTTCCTTAGCTTGCTTATCATTTTAATATTGAACAACATTTTTTAATTCATGGTCTTTTGTTTTAACCAAAGAAAAATGCTTAAAAAAATAGATATGCAATAATATACATACATTTATCAAGTTATAGTTATAGTATGAATACGTTATAGAGAAAAGAATAACATAAATTCATCTATACATACCATTAAAAAGTATAAACATCCTCCAATCTTTCTAGCACCATCCTTCTTTTTCCTTATTTGTTTCAAATACTTCAATTCATTGCACAAATTATCTAATATATATCTTGAGCAATTGAAGTCTTTCAGTGGATTCTTGGTGCAATACATGACCTTAACCATCCACTCACTAACATTACTAGAATTGATACATAAAAGTGTTCCTAGTGTGTAAAATATAAATAAAAATTCAAAATTTTCAACCTCTACTCCAAATTTAATTAATGCCAATATATTCTCAAATGGAATTTTATAAGATTTTTTCTTCAACCTAAAAAATGCTTCCTCTTAATCATCCACCTCTATCGACACCTTATCCTTGTCATAGGGTAACCCTATCAAAATGTAAACATCTTCTACTTTTATTTCTTTTGACTTGCCCCTAATGCAAAATTGATGGGTAAGTGGATCATATGAAGAATTTAATTGAAAACAGAGGTTTTCAGAGAGTGTTTTCCATCGAATATCAAGAAACATTCCAAACCTTACATTTTCTACTCTCGTTCTTAAGTTCTCGTTGACTTTCATGAACTCTACAAGTTTCATAAATTCCCTCACAGAGCACCTCATGTGAAAAGGAATCTTATATTTATTTTTTATAACATTTCTATTCGCTTTTAATTCCCTCGCCTTCTCAATATATTTGACCTTTTCAGCCTTTGGCTACTCTTCCCAAGCCTTTAGTTAAAATTTTATTCTATATTTTTGCCTCATTTTTTCTATTTATTTTTATTTTCTTTAAGAAAATCCTTCTTGAACAGACTTAATGCATTTATCATCTTCTCTATCCTAAACAATCAACACTCCCTGCTAATATTTAACAATCTATAATAGTCACAGCAACCAAGTTCAAACAAAATCATAGCAAATACTATGCATAAATAATATAATTAAAGTGGATCCTAGCAGCAAGTTGACCAACTTCCCTCCACAGCCAAACCCCTTTGAATTAAAAGAAAATAGTTTAACAAAAGAACCGTGATAATGATGTTTTAGTCTTCTAGAAAATGAAAACTGTATAGTCACATCATAATAAGCTTAATCACACTAGTGGTTAATGCATGTGCCTTCTTATTTCTTAATGCAGATGGCTTTCATTACACAAAAAGATACAAGAAAAATCAACTACAAAAAATTTTGCAGGGCTCACACGCCGTGAACAAAGAGGCAATACATCTTAGTACAAACCCCAAATTAGAGATATTTAGAAAATAAGCAACATTCTTTATTAGTAGTACAATTGAAATACCTAGTAGAAAAAGAAAGCTTGAAGATCCTTAGAGGCAACACACCTCTTCAACTTGTTCTACTAGTTTTATCTTCTAACACTAGAGTTTTTTAGTTAGTAAAATCCAATCACACACATCATATTGATTTTGGGCATTGCATTTCAAAATTCCTTATGGAAGAATAATTACTTAAAATATAAAAGCACCAATATAACAAGTACGTGGATCAAATACAAGTTTATCAAAAATAGAGGGAGGAGGTGTCGCACATGAAATATAACAGTATTACAGCTTCCATTATCATAGTATTAGTCCTTGTGAAATCATTCAAGAGCGAACGACAAATTCAAGGTTGAGACCCACAGACCCACAAACACAACCTATAATTATTGAAGTAAGAAGAGGAAAGAGGGAAGAGTGGGAGGGAGCGAACCAAAATCAGGTGCGACTGGGGAGAGAGGGAGAGAAGATGCTAGACTCATGATAATGACAATGCCGAGACCCACAAACCCATGAGAACAAACCCACTGCCAAGAACACTGAGAAGGTTGAAGTTGGTGTCGGGCTACAGTGAAACTGCGATGGTGAGACAATGATGGAGACACCATTGAGGCAAGATGACAGAGTGTAGAGAGAACAGGCAAGACAACAAAGCATGATGCACGAAGGAAATGGAGGAAATGACATCCTTTATTTTGTTTTAATTTGAGTCAAAAGTAATTTGGTTATTTATATTAATTCTTTAATCGTAGAAAAGTCCTAAAGACTTTAAGAAAATTATGCCATTTCGAGGGACCAAATGTTATTTAGATAATTTAAATAGATTTTATTGTCATTTTCCCTGAAGATATCATAAAATTTAAAAGTAATTAATTAATAATTATTTTTATCATCATAATTAAACATAAAATAATATCTACTTTTTATTAGATTTTTCAACAATAAAATTGCTTTTTATAAAAATTTCTATACTATTTAAAATTATTTATGTTTAATCTTAAACAAATGGACCCATTATCTGCACCCCATGCAGATAATCACAGCAATGATTCAATTTTGAAGTATCAAACTTGAATCTCTCACGGAGAACTCGAGAAATTGATGCTGGAGCAGAATGCTATATGAACTGAACCTTTGGCTTAATAGAACACTATAATTGCACCTTATTTTTTGTTTCTCTTCATTTCTTAAGTTTTGATTTTTGGCCAGAGAGCCTTTCTTAAGTTGTAGCGCCTTTCTACTTTAGAAATATAAGATCGAACAAAAAACTTTCTTACCTTCAAAAATATATTAATGAAAAATAATAATATATAATAGTAAAGTTTAACAAAAAAGTAAAAACAACTTAAATTTGATAAAATATAATAATCAACTGACCTTCACACGTACGCTTGAAACCCATTGTGAGTGTCTGAGTGATAGGTGGGTCTGGCTTCGTTAATTGAAGTCCATAAATAAAGCCTTACAATATGTTTAATGGGGGGGGGGGGGGAGAAAATTTTCAATGGAACTTTTGGCAGGTTGACCTGTTTGAAAAAATATTTTTTTACAATGCTAAAAGTTCAAAAATATTTTCCAATGCGCTATCAATAAGAACTTGACTTTTGTGAAGTCGAGTTTGAATTTTTATCATTGAAATCAGTTTGTAATCATGTGTAAATAAAAAAAAAAATACTTGTTTAAGGGAATCTTTCTTCTTCTTCTTCTTCACATTATTGCGTAGATCACCCCGATATCCTATATCTATCTCACATTAAACTGAGAGACTTTAATAGGTGCTTAGATTAATTAAAGGTGATAATTCAGGTGAGTCGAGTTTATTTGGACTAGCTCAATTATGACCAAGCTTGTTTAAATTTAATTTAAAATACTAAAATATATAAAAAATCTCATATAATCAAACTCAACTCTAACACCCTGAACTTACTCAATTTTTATCTTAAAAGTTTAAAATTTTCAAACAACATAGTTCAACACACATTCTATCCTTATTGAAATGGACAATAAAAGAATACAAATGAAAATATATGAAGTGACCTCTTGCATTTAAAAAATATTAAAACAAATCATTATTAGAACATTAAAACTTTATTTAGAAATGTAAAATGTGTGAACTGAGAATTCGGGAGCGGATTTGTGAGCGCCAACTAAGTGAAAGCCAAAGTGAATGTTAATTTCATTTGAAGCTAAAATATAAAAACATTTTTGAACTTTGAGATATATGCACAGAATCCCACTCACCTTTAACATTTAAATTTAACATCCCTAACCTTTTATTTTTTTATCATATAAGTCTCTCAACTTTGAACATTTAAAATAACTGATTACCATTCCCATGAATTCTTATTCGTGGTTTTATATTAAAAAAATAAAAGATATTATAATTATAAAATGTTAAAAATAAACTTTTATCTTTGACAAAGCATTTGAATAAATAATAAAGTGACTTACCATCTTCCTTTATTTATATTTAATAAAGATATGACGAGAGCGGGAAATTTCTTGCCGAACCTTCGCAGATGATTGCCACCGATTTGCCTCAGTAACTTCAGACCAGGGAGCAGACCAGCATCGAGAAAACCTAAAGAAAGCGTGTTGCAGACTTGCAGCTTTTTCTTGCGTCTTTTTAGGGCATGTTTGTTTAAGATTGTAACTGCCCAAACCTCAATTAAGTGCTAAAAGCCCGAACAAAAAAATGTGAAGTCTTGCATGAATAATAAATCTCTGAATTC